GTCAGTTTGTTTTCCGTATAAGGGCACGTGCGAAACGGAAGACAAACTACTTCTTTGAAAAAACCCCTCTAATTAATTTGTTACATTCTTTGTATTAATTTCATTTACATTTACTTTGTATAGTGATGAGGCACTTTCATGTCATGCAGGTGCTGCAAGCGAATGTTACAGAACAGTTTCAGACGTTTTTTTCGCAATTTTTGAGCCTCCTGATCTTTTGGATCAAAGTGCGAGAGATTAGAGAGGGCAGATTTGAAGCCCCTATTTCGGCGCCTGAGATCTGCAACGTGTATTTTATAACATTTTCTAACACTTTAAGGTTCTCTTAAACGTGGCTCCTCTTCCGCAATGTCCCGATGAAAATACTACTGTTACATGGGTACCTTGCAGGGTCATGCACTAGAGCGCTCCTCTCAACAGAGCAGGTAGTACAGCCCCCGTCGAGGAATTCTCTGCAGCATCACATTCTGGTAAGGCAAACACCCGCAGGGTTACTAGCGCGGAGCAGGCAATAGTAACGTATAGGAAAGTTACTCATTTGTCCATGGAATTAGCGAAAATTGAATTAGATACACTCTTTTTAGCCTTTTGGTGAGCAGTAGCAGCGCCCGGATAGGTATTGCTACATTGAGAACTGACGAGGAGGATATAAGCTGAGCGTACCTAGGTATGAGTGTTTCAATTCTATTCAGTTGTTTTGTACTGTATGCCAAACGAGGTTTTTAAGATGGAATCTTTATTACTGGCCTGACGTTTCGACCGCTTCGTCTTCTTCAGAGGCCTGGAGATAGTCGATGATTCCACCGATGCGGAGCAGTAGCTCACGCCCTGTGTTAGTTGAGTTGACGTCAGTAAAACGAATCTATCCAATGTTTTCTTGCTAGCCTCCAGGATTTGTATAAATGTTATTTGGCCAACGTAGCAGAAATCGTTTCCTCGCAACCTTTTATAAAGAAGCTCTACAAGGTCCACTAGCAAATGTTGAACTGCTGTTGAACAGCTCTGTTTTCCCAGAAAGCTTCTACCTCTAATCAGATAGAGTGTCACAGAAAGTCTGCAAGGTGTTTTGACGCCACTTCATCGGTAACCGAGAGCGTTCCAATCGACAGCAGATATCTCGCTCTATTCGTAGGAACCGCGACGCAACCGCAGCAGTAAATGATCGGTAGATTTTCATTCGAAATTTATTCTGTTTTATGCACTTCTGCTCTTGATCTGTTTATGTACGTCTTCGTGTGTTCGGCAACTATGTGATAGTAAGTTAGATAATAGTAGCTATTCCAGATTAGGGACTGGCGATGTACAAGCTTCGGAATCGCGACTTATTGGATAGATTTCTTAACAAGACCAGTTTCAACGACTCTCCGTCCCAAGAAGCTCTTGCGGTCAGTCAATCGCATGATGGAAGTTGGTTTTACTTTTGCTTAAGCCAAATTCTGATTTGAATAGGCGTCTTTTATTTCAATAGCTTCGTACCGGTGCGGCTTACAGTTTCGGTTGTTGGTTCCAAGTTGATCTCCTAGTCAACAGCTCTTTATATTCCAACATCTTATGAGGCATTATTCGTAAACGAAAACGATTCTGTAACTAGTTGCGCAATAATTCTTCATAAATATTTGTAAATGATGTGAATCTGAAAATCCTACTCATCTTGGCAATACTTTCAGGTACAAATGTGCGTACACGGCCTGAATTGTACTACTGCACTATTCGCAATATTCCGTCTTGGATGAGGTCGAAAGACCTACGGCGATACTTTTCGGACTTTACTGAAAACGGAAAGTTCCAATGTTTTCACTACAGGCATCGACCTGAACTTCAGCAAGAGGTACTGACCATTTCGATGTTTCCTTTCAATTTTACTTGGACGTTGATGGGGTCCTATTCCAGTTAGGGGACATATGATAACAGTTTATCAAAAAGGTGCGGTAAACTCCGGCGAGAAGCGCAGGCAGGACTGGGGGATGTGGGTGGGGGGGGGGGTGGGGGCGGGCGAGAGTGAGGCGAGTCACAAACATGCGGAAAAGCTTGGAATGTCCGGGGTTATTAGGTCGCGCGCGAAACTACATCATGATGCCCCCCCGACCCCCACTCCCCCTCCAAGTTCGTCCTAATTGATGATCTTTTTTTAGAGTACAGATGTGGCGACGCGACCATCTTCAAGCACTGGGACCGGTAGCAAGAAAGAGCGCTACAAATTGTTGTGTAGTGAGTTTTGCCTCGTCGGCGTTGAGGTTGGTTCTCCTGTTTGATTTTCTTGTTCGTGAATTTGTTTCATCTGACAGTAGTTCACCGCTAAAGCTGCTCTGAAATCGCCCGTGTTTCCTTGATTTCTCATGGTATTAACAAATCCTACAAGAAATTGGTTAACCAGCTAAGGTAGCACAAACTGGTTTGATGTACTTTTTCAAAAAAAAACCCTTTTTAAGAAGCGAGTTCATCCGTGAATTCCATGGTCGACATTGGATGAATAACGAAGGAATGGAAATCCCTCGTCGCTGTTTTGTCACCGCTATAAAGCTTGCAAATGTAAGTAGAAGTCGGGAAGTGTTAAGATTCTCTAGAATTGAGCTTGCGAGGGTTACTTCTTATTCTAAAATTACAGGCATCCGAAGGAACTTCTGATTCATTAACGAGCGCCGATCTTCGCCAACTGATCGAGCTTCGTCCACCTGCAGTAATGCCTCATGGCAACGTTGGAACTCCGACGAAATACTTCATGGAACAGGTAATCAGAAAGCCTTAAGTACTTATTACTATCCTTTACATTACTTTCTTTGCCATAATTATTCGTGTTATTTGTAATTCCCTCCATGCACCTTGTTTTTTGAGACCATGTGCTGAACGAGAAAATCCAATGAAATCGCAGAGTTACTAAGCGATAGGGTGGGTTCGGGACAGCATTTAGCGGCGAAATATTGCCTTCATATCTGAAGACCTTGAGCATACTCGTCCACGCTGGATGAACAGAATTAATATTTCAAAATATTGAATTAGCTTTTGAACAAGGCGAACCAGTCGAAAGCTCTAGTTTGACCAATAAAATTCAGCAGCAACGTTGCCCAGCCATGTCCAGGATGATGTGGTTTTCTAGAAACCTGACGACTAAAGATATCTTTCTCAAACATCTTGAAGAATCAAACAATTAATTCGAAAAGTTAGTTGATTGAAAACGTCCACATCGAAGAAAGATTAGTTGCACGCGACTATTTAATGAAAGGTTGCACCGATTCTTGTAACATATGATTCCTTTTCTGAACAATCATTCGCGAGTATGTCAGCTGTCACTGCGAATGAACATGGAGTCTTGTAGTACTGCTTCAATGACGATTTTTCCAGTTGAAACTGGATCTGCTCTGGGAGTTCCATTGTAAATGAAAGAATTAAATTCTTGTCGGCACCAACCGTTTTGTGAAGATTGTGTTTAGATTCGTCTCTGTCGTCTGCCAGCTTCCCTTATCCCCAAATTGGGCTTGAAAACAAGTCGGCGAAAAAGAAAATACGATTCAGTGGAATTTCATTACTCTTCTGATGAATACGATGAAAATGCCATGGAATCAGGTAAACAAGTTCACTGAAATCCAAAAATAATTCATGAAATATCCGATGAGCAATAAATAAAGAAATAAAAATTTTCAGTGTCTGGGATCGCCAATGACAAGAGTTCAGCAGACGATTCCCTCCGGAGATCAATCACAGAAAAAGCAATACTAGAAGAAAGCCAGTCGCTCCGCGAGCAGGTATAACACCGATGACGTGGTATCATTTTACGGAAGCAGTGATAATGTTCGTCTGTACGTATCCGTATTTTTTAAGGCTGTCGCAACTGATCCAACTGATCGGATCCTTCAAACTGATTTTGGGCCCGATAACGATGACGGTCCCGATGATGACGACGACCAGTGCGAGGAGTGGGAAAGGTAAATAAGCACAGTATTTTATGACGATTGCTTCTGTCAGAGCATAGCTTCTACAGTCGCAAATATTGAAATTGGCTGCCTGTCCAGCATTCCTGGCGATCCAGGGGTTGGGTTTTCGCGGGTACATTCATGGGTAACCTGACTGACCACTGAAATAGGCCGTACGCAGCATAGTCCGGGGGGGGGTCAGCGTACTGGCCTTCCACATACCATGTTTTCTTAATCGTCCAGTACTATTTTTGTTATAAACATTCATTTATGTTCACATTATCAGAGTTATAATATTTTACCCATTACTAAAAAAATCTGCCAATGTCAGGCATGAGGCTCTTCACGACGATGTCACGGAGCAGGATCGAATCAAACCTCGCAAAGTATGAAGAAGAGATGGAAGTCACCTGGGAAAAAGGTGGTCCAGGACTTGTATGGTTCACCGATAAGAACTATTGGGATGAAAGGGAGAAAGGTGTGTCGCTGTGGTGTTTTCTAGTTCTCAATCTCTTAGATGTTTTATAGTTACGGTTGAAGTGTTTCCAGAGAGCAGAAGTGTACTGGCACCTCTCCAGTGTGCAATATTTTTTACCTTTTTTGCTGGTAGTTTAGTAATGGGTTTGTTCAGTAGCTCCAGTTTGTGCTTCAACATTTCACTATTGTGCTGTTTTTTACCTTGAAAGTGAGGACGGGACCAAAAATCTTGTAGAGATGAGAAACTGGTATACTCAGCAATTTTCATACTCGTGCCTTTGTACAGGAACTGATTGCGATTGGGCCTGGGCGGATGACTGGGATGTTGACTACTCAGTTTATTACGAGGGAAAGTCCGCAGGCTCGAAAGATGCTCACGATGCCGTTGAGATCAGAGAGGATGAGGCAAAGAGGTATTCATTCCTTCCTTTTTTCCTGTATTGGTACTCAGCAATTTTTATTGTAGGTCAGGAAAGTTGGAAGAGTCTGTTTTCACAAAGAAATCTACGTCATCTGGATCGCTGCGAAAACGTCGAAATAGTGCTTCGGACGTTTTGGATATCGAGCAGTACAATAAGGGCATCGGAAGTAAATTGCTCGGAAGGTAGGCGAAGAATAACCTCTCACTCTTGGTTGTGTGTAGGGTTTCTCGTTAAAAATAATATTTAATATTTTTTCTTCTTTTTAAGAATGGGATGGAAACCTGGCTCGGGATTGGGTCGCTCACAGCAAGGTCGAGTTGATCCAGTTGCGATCCAGCTGGAGGAGGACGGACAGACCGGCATAGAGAAGAAAGGTTTTGGATACCATGGGGAAAAGTTGAGGCGCACTGGGTTCATGAAACAACCAAAAGTACATGCTATCGCGTCAAGGTGAGTATATACTGCCTACGCGGGTGTCACATCTTTTACGTTACGTATTTTTATATTCCATGAGTCTCTTGGGAGTTTTTAAGTCATATGGCTTTGATCAGAACGGCATTACGGAATCATGTTTTTTAACAGCTCCTATTTATTTAGTTTCGACGCTGTCACCGATAAAGCGGCAGTTCCCTATAAAAGGGTTGGAGACGATGCCACTGGAGACATTTATTCCGAAGGAATGAGCTGACGAAAATGAAATACAGGCATGATACAGCACAATCGCTAAAAGATTAAGTCAATAAATATGTATTCAAATTCATTGTTAGTGTCACTGATCAGAAAATTGCAGTTCTTTTCCGCGTAGATTGTCTTACCTACCCTTTAAATGAGGCTTCGACTTTTTGCTTCCACCTCGCTTTTGGAAAGCTCCTCTGAGGGTTTTATACTGTAATTTACTGTGCGGTAGGGGCGCGGCGGAAGATGTCGTTGAGACGGTGCGGAGAAATGGAGGTAATCCAGTGCGCGCTCGAACGGCTCATTTTCACGCAAGTGTAGTAATGAACAATGCTCGCTCCACCACCCGAAGGCGCTGCTGTATTGAGATCTTCTGGTCTTGTTAAGGAGTCGGATGTTCGGGCATGCCTCGAATTGTAGACTATGGGATACTGCCCACAATTCAGCCTAGCTGAGCTTCACCGAGCAGGGGGGTGCATTGGTAGCTGTCGATCCGGTTTGTTTTGTGCCATGTGTCTCGAGGGTTGGGATAATGCGATGCTTTGATTACTGCCCCTTCGTGAGTTTTTGGCCAAAATCATCCGAAGAAAATTACCCCCTCTCCATAGCCACGACCCCTTCAACATCCACCAAATGATCACCTAGTCGCACTCTACGGAGAGACTTCAAGAAGCAACAACCCTAGATGAGCTCGTGTTGCAGAATATATTCTGTGGGTGGGATGGAGTAGCCCACGAATGTCAAAAATGTGTTGTTTTCCTTCGGAAGTATTGCCGAGCTGTGGCAGGTAGCTCCTTTACAAAGCACGAGCAAACAACCCTAGATGAGCTACCGTCTTGAAGAAACTATACTTCTTCGTGGGGTGGTAGTGAGTTAGCCGACGAATGTCAAAATGTAGTGTTATCTACTCGGAAAGTATGCGACTGTGGCGTAGCCTCTTACAAAAACATTCACTCGATGCACTTGTGTGAACATATGGACGAAATACCTCACGCACTTCCCTTGATACGCAGCGTGGATTACGAGGTAGCGGTTGACCCTAACGCACGCGTTAAGGTACACGTGAGGCAAGCGGTTCGGACAACTCGTCCGGACGCGCCCCTCCCTCTTCATCGGCAGTTCGCTTTAGTTTTTTTTTACTTTTGTTCAGTTTCGAATTCCACATCTTCATTACCGACAGCTGTTACCTCCCCAATTTGATGTGGGGTTGTTGCTTCAATCTTGTTCGTCCCAAATATGATCAACTCATTCCATTCAATCTCGTGACCTTAAGTCCACTCAAGGCCAGCCAGTATTCTACATACAATCGATGCAGAATGTTCAAGAGATTTATACTTTCAAACAAAAGAAAACATGGTTAAGTCAGTTTAGAGATTGGCTTCATAACAATTTAGTTCAATGAGGAAAAAAAAACTATACAATCCTTCGTTTACAGGGATAAGTCCTATCAGTGAGCATGCGAGCAATGGCGCTCAAAAAGAGACGCGAGAAATCATCCGTAGTCTTCGAAAGAACGGGTTTTCTCATGGGAAATAGAGATTTCATTTCAATCATAAATAGATCGGCAGTAGGTACATACAGACACGTTCTAGAGGGGTGTGATCAATAGATAGAAAGAAATGGGGTCGAACGACAACTAGCACATTCACGCACCAAATAAAGTGTGGCGGTTAGTCGCTTGTGGGGAGTGCCGAACGCTGGCTTCCAGTGCAAGTTGTCGTCGAAGTTTGGCCGTTAGGTGCAGGCGATCATCGTCGGAAACCGACGTTGCCACAGGTAGCCATACAGTCCATCATCGAGACAAAATTGTTCAGATTTCCTCCACAGCCCGTGTAATCGAACGGAACACACTGACTCTGTAGAAAAACTTTGAAGAGTGAATCAAATTTCAATTCGTGAACCCATGGGCTGTCACTCCCAGGGCGATGTTTTGATTTTTTAGCCAAGGCGCGATTATACTAGATAAATGGTGACCACGAAAACGAGCTCAGGTTCAATTTTGCGTTGCGCAATTCTCAACGAGGAAGGTGATATTTGAGATTATTCGATGGG